TTTACTTATTCGGCGCTCTTTCTTTCGATACTCTTGAGATATGCTTCGCCTGCCGCAGTAAGCAAATTCATTTAATGACTGGAATTTGTGCAGTTATAATACGTTTTTGACATCGAGGTCTTCTTATGGTCTCAGTAATGACTGTTATTATAGATTTCCCTTTTTAGTTTGAGCTGAAAGAGATGCAAAGACAAGAAGAGGAGGCAGCGCGAAGGCGCGGCCATCCCGGAAGCCCATCGCGCTCGCAGCCACCAGAGACGTTTGGTTCAGATCCTGATGGTAAGTGCTTCAACAAGCAGCTAGTTCATAGCTATCTAAACTGCGTTTATTTATTTTCGCGTAGATTATTTCGATTTTCTCACAACTATTTATTATTGACACAGCAAATAAGCAGATCGAGTACGGCATTCATAAACTAGTCTATTGTAAGTAGTCATACCTTCTGTTCGTCCCACTTTTATGCTCATTATCCTGTTACGTTTCACTTCTCAGTTACAAGAAAAGGCTCAGTTTTCAAGAGTTGACCCGGCTATATCACTTTCGTTGATCTTCCTATGTTCTGCCAAATTCACATGTATCAGTAGCCCAACTGACAATTGCTCATCTCCAGCATGATAATACTAGAAATAGAAAGCTTTTTGAAGTTAACTATTTCAACAGCTAATATCATCTCATACGGAATGCTTTTTTGTTTGTGGAGTGCAGTGTTGTGAATTCCAGACTTCAATATGACGTTGAGCAGCGTCGACAGTGGAGGAGCACCTCGAGCGGGCACACTGGGTTAGCTTCACGATAGTTTGCTTATTCTATCTCCTAACTAACATGTTGTCCCATAGCCTAATCCAAAAGGCTAAGCCAGAGTTTGCTGTAGTTTTGGTTTGACACAAAACCTGGCACAAAAAGTCTCCTATAGTTATGCTATGTGCAAGCTCAGCCTTACATCATGAGCATTTGTCGCTGTGTTTATATGTTGTAGTGCTTTGTGTTAGTGCAGTGAGATTACAGAACGCAGCCGGTTGTCTACTGGTGAAAGCAGCGGTTGGCGCATGTCTCTTGCTCGTGCGCCAAAATTCGATTCACGTGACCCTCGCGGTA